ATAATTTGGAGGAGAAGTGCTTTCAAGTGGTTTCATGCCTTTCCAAAGTGTACTTGCACGAAAGGGAATGTAATGAACCCGACTGGAATTCGAACATGTTCTGAGCCGCTATCCATAAAAAAATATCTTATTTTTCATGTTGATTCAAGGCTAGAAAACATAGTCTATCCTACTATTTATCCATAGCTGGGGGGGATTGTGTTGGATTCATACTTTTCCCAAGGGTATATTCACTTACGTGCTAATATACTAGAGAAAGGTATGAAACGAACATTTCTCGCCCCCCCCAGCTATGCGTTAAATAGTAGAACAGACTGAGTCCTATAGCCTTGGATGGCAACCGGCCTAGGAGAATGAACACTCTGAATTCAAAACTGTATGTAGGTCTGGCGATACACATACCATGCAGCTAAGGAAAGGATCGTTCGCATTCAAAGTCTTCACAGCTATGGGGAAATAGTAAGACAAACTGGGTTCTATAGCCTTGAATGGCAACCGGTCTAGGAGAAGGAAAACTCTGAATTCAAAACTGTATGTAGGCCTAGCGAAATACATATTATACAGCTAAGGAAAGTTTCGTTCGCATTGCAATTCTTACCAGCTATGGAGAAATAAAAAGAAAGACTGGGTTCTATAGCCTTGGATGGCAACCGGTCTAGGAGAATGAACACTCTAAATTCAAAACTATATGTCACCCTAGCGAAACATACTATGCAGCTAAGGGAAGGATCATTTGCATTTTCTTGATAATCCCGATTGCGGTCAACTCCTTTTTAAAAAATATTTTTTGCGAGAAAAACGTAGACGAGAGTTATGGAAATATGTTGGTCTTTCGCAGCACAAAATTTGCGAAGTTAGCAACCTCCTTTCCAATACACAGACTTCTCCTATATCTCTCTCACAACAGTTTAAACTGTGCTTACATCCATTGTTTGGTCTCTGTAAACGTTCAACAAACATTGCAATGGGTGAATTTTTTTTTCGCAATAATAATGGAACTCTGTGCAATTTTAATAGTGAGCTAAACATAATTCCATGGCGAGGCAAACTATAAAAATATGTATTAAAACTAGTGTTGCTTGAATCTGTACTTAAGAAAAAAATGGAATTAAATGTAAAAATAATTTCTGCCCGTTCTTAGACCATTAACAACACTAAAAAAACTTATCTATTATATTCAACAAATCATGCATAAAAGAAGGACTGCTGCCGAAATATATAATAACGTAATTAAATAAACATTGTTTCAAAATGTTGCTTTAATGATAACAAATAAAATAAAACAGATGTAGTTGACATTGTAGGTTCTTTTAATAAAATGAAAAAAAAATCTGTTACTGACGCGACTGAGTGTAAAGGGAAAATATTCTATTAGTGCCAAGGAAAAAACGATTCTCCATTTTATTAGGCATTTTAACACGATTCTAATGGGCGTCATAACGAATGTAAAAGACGTAATACTCATCAAATATTAATTACACTTGTTTAATGTTGACTGTATTTCTTGGTAGGGACAATAATTTCGACTCATATAAAATTGCGCGACATTAATAATAAAATATGAAGTTCAAGAGAAGATAATTAGTTCTAAGTGAATCCTCTGTTGACTTCGTTCCGTTTTATTATTTTATGATATCAAATTGAATTCAGCACTCCGCCTTCATATCGTCATCAGCAGGAGGAGCAATATGGCGGGCACTAGAATTATTAGTAGTAATAGTGCTCTTTCTTTTCTCTTTTGTTTTTACAGTCATTGTTATTCGATTACTATCATCGCCATCCTCACCTGACGACGATGACTACAATTATTATTAGTTGGTTGTTAGTTGTTTTGTTTTATAGCATATCAAAACCTTAGTGGGTCATTTAATGCCAACAAAATTTTGAAAGAGATTCATAGTGATAGTTTGGTAAAAAAAAAAAAAAAAAGGTGTGCATGTATACATATATATTTGAACCATTTTTCAATCACTCATATTTTTGAGTACATTTTTCCTTCAAAATTTTTGCTGTTTTTTTTTTAATTATAAAGTATTTCTGGTATTAAAACCTATTTTTGCACAAGTTTGAGTGCTAACTATTTGCCCATAGCTGGGACCCTGGCAGGTGCTACCACCCGGGTCAGGGTGGACCTAGGAATACCAGCAATTAAGAGGTGGTTCGACGCTCCTCAAAAGCTCCTGATCAGAGGCCTTGCTGTGGGATGCAATTTATCGTCTTACCCTGGACGTGGATGCAGTTTATCGTCTTAACCAGAACGCGGATGTAGTTTATCGTCTTACCGAGGACCGAATTATTATTAGTAGTAATAGAAGTAATGGTTGTGGCGGTCGTAGCCGCGTAAAAGTACACCCTGGTACAAGAATCGCATTTCGATTTCAATCGACACAAGGAAAATAAACATTGCTATGTGCACATATTCACAAAATGGTCGATAGATAGATAGATAGATAGATAGATAGATAGATAGATAGATAGATAGATAGATAGAAAGATATGACTAGACTTACGATTTCAATCTACAAAGGAAGAATAAATATATATAAATATATGCACGTATCCACAAAATACTTACATAGCGACATCGAACGGTGACATACATGTGGGCGCATGCGCTTTGCCCGCATTGCGTGTGCGTGTGTGTGCGTGTGTCGACGAACGAGAATGGGATTGGGACTATTTTGAATTAATCAATGTCCACCGAGCATCGTTAATCTACGGGATTAGTCTATGGTGACAATGGGATAATACCATTTAATCCGCTGCCAATCTATTCTCTCCATTTGGGAAAGAAAGAACCAGAAATGACAAGCCCAGGGAAAAACAACGCAAAAATTCATCAGAGCGGACACACGTATAGAGATACATTATTCGACACATAGACACACGCCCACCTCTATGTAGCTCCTTCGGGTTGCCCTGTTGGTAAGCGTCTGGAGAAAAAACGAAAATGCTGAAAATCTTGCGTGTCTATTGACATTTCGCATCGTACGAAAGTCAGTAAAAGCTCAAAATGAGGTTAGATATAAAATGGAATAAGTTTACTATAACAAGTATAGTTGATAAGACAGTATAGTTAAGAATTTAGAAGTCTTTTAAACCCAAAAAAATGTTAGAACAATATTCTGAAAGTTTTATGGGCGAAAGAAACGGACGCTGCTAAATATTGAAAAATAAAATCAGTATCTCAAACACCACTCAAAATTCCTATTTTTCAATAAAATCTCTTGCCTATATTGTGATTTTGTAAGCGTATCTTAGATGTAGCACAAGGCCGAAAGTTTAAAGACCCAGAGAGGATCTAACTTGCTATTCAGTCGTAATTGATCTAGCGAGACAAGCTTTTTAAACATTACATCACGTCGAGGTACCTAGAAATTATTTTCTAAGAATAGATGTGTTATAAGGCCAAACGTTTAAAGCACCCAGAGAGGATCTAATTCGCTAATCAGTCGTAATTGATCTAGCGAGACAAGCTTTTTAAACATTACACCAAGTCGGGGTATCTAGAAATTATTTTCAAAATATAGCTTAGATGTGGTATAAGGCCGAAAGTGTAGAGCACCGAACGCGGATCGAACTCACGATTTCGTCCTAATTGTTCTATTGCTAATCGTTACACCACGTCGAAGTACTCAAATCTCTTGCCTAAATGCATACGCATTTGGTGAGTTATCGATTCTACTGTGAAGTGAGTTCTATCCTCATTGGGTACCCCATACTTGTAGTCTTGTGACAGGTCAAGTTAGGACCCCCACCTAATCTGCCCAAGTGGGCAAATATCAGAATTTTCATAGCAATTAGGTTCTTATGGGTTGGAGTTTCTAGCCACATGCACAAGCAATTATAAATTGAGTTGCGTAGCAAGGCTGAAGAGTCTAGTCTTTCTTACTATTTAACCCATTGAATTCGAACTCGGGTCAACGAGTTGTCACGGGGACCTCAAAAGCCCCTTAAGACGCAACTCAGTTCTTCCATTCTATACTTTTATTTATTAATCCATTCCCTTCCTTGATTTCTGTGTTTTTCAGTTTCTCCTCCATGCATAAATTACAATGACTTTCTCTGTTCTTTTTTTCATCATTTTTATAATATACCATTCTACTAATGATGTATTTTCTTTTCATATTTGACTCCCATATTTATTTTGAAAGCATGGGCTTATTTCTGTAACTTTCATATTTAAATCCTACCAGTTGATTTGCGTACCTTCCTTTAAATTCATTCCCAGTTTCTCCAATGTAAATCCTCTCCTTCCCTGGTTTCTTCTTTGTTGTCACTATCGCCTTGTGTAACACACTTACTTCCCTGCAACGGACAATTTGTTTTTATTCTACAATTACAGTTATTTTATTGTTTTTATCTAGTAATCTGTTATGTTCTTTTAGTCGTTGTTCACCTAAAATTTGTATAGAAAAGAAAGTAAACAGTATGTGAAGTGGACGAATAAAAATGGATTTTACTTGTAACGTTTTGAAAAGGAACACGGTACAGGCCGTGGTATGTCTTACATTTCTATTTACGACGCATGGAAAATTGCCACTGCGATTCTTGGTCAAACAAAACGCAAATGACACTCGCATCCACCTTGTTCGTGAGCTAAGCTGCAATTAACTATGTTCAACAACGGACTGTCACGTGGACCTCAAAAGCCCCTTAAGACGCCATCAATTCTTTCAGTCAAAAGATAAGTAGTTTTTAAGTCACTACAGTTATTTTAACTCGCTTCATCTTGGTTGTGGATTTTAAAACAATATTTTGCCTGATATTTTAAAATAAAGTTGGCTCTCTGTGCCGCGCCAGGAAGTTTTTCTCCCCTGAATCGATACTACAAATATACAAAACAACCATTCGCCCTTGCATGGAGTATTGCTGCCATATATGGGCTGGAGCACCTTCTGCTTACCTCGGAGTTCTTGACAAGATCCAGAGACGGATATGTAATCTAATTGGCCCTGATCTAGCGTCTCGTCTGCAGTCACTCTCTCAAAGACGCACCGTCGCCTCTCTCTGTCTTTTCTACAAATACTTCCATGGTAACTGCTCTGATGAGCTGCTCTCTCTGGTTCCCAGACTCCATGAATTCAAGCGCCCTACGAGGCTGGCATCCCGCTCCCAACCTTACACCGTAGAAACTTTCAAATGTAGCCGTCTCTTCTACTCCAATAGCTTCATACCTCGCACCTCTCGCCAGTGGAACACCCTGCTTCCCTGAAGGCTATAATCTCCAACTATTCAAATGTAATGTCAATCGACATCTCCAGTTACCTTGATCTACCCACTATCCTTCTCCTCATCCTTTCTCCTATCACTCCTATCTGCTCTCGCTCCAAATCTTCTGCAACCTCCTGCATCCTAGTGGCTTCACGCCTTGCTTGGGGCGTAATGCTTAAAAAAAAAGTATTATGATGCAATAATTTCGGTGTATGTACGTGTATTTTCAAAAGAGGATGAATTGTGATGCAACATGTGCCTCACAATTCACTCACTACACTAACGACCGACCTTCTCTACACTAATTGTTGATTGTTCTTTCGCTATGGGAATAATGTCTACTCATAGGAACAATTGTCTCAAACTGGTTCGCTAAAATGTAAGTAATGTAAATAATTTCCTTTCATTTTGGAGAGTATTATCCTTACACAGTCGGCATATCCCAATCTCCCTCCCCAAAAGAGCAACATCTATCCTCCTCTCTGTCGCTCTATCTCAAGTTTCGTACATGCCAACAATGAAGTATGGAGACACTAACTCAACACGCTAGACAATGCTACTCGGGTTCCCATAGCAAATAGGTTCTAATGGGATGGAGCTTATAGCCACATAGCCAACCGATTTTGAATTCAGTTGTGTAGCAAGGATGAAGAGTGTAGTCTCCCTTACTATTTAACCCATAGGTTAATCTCATTCCCACGGTTATTTGCGGGAAAAGTGGATTTAAATAACTTTACCTGAAATAGATCTCGTGTCGCCGTTTCTTCGTCTCGGCCACTAAGCACTACACCATCCATACATCTTTTTTGAGAAATAATCTTACTCTTCCGCAAGAGATACTTTAAGCGTATTCTAAATCAGGTCAACATATATATATAAAGACATTTTTATGTTTATACATTCTTTTTATAGATACAAATATTTAATTAAATGCTTTATTTATAATAAACGGTATTAAACAACATTTACCGGCCTGAATGTCCGAGAAATTTTCATAGAAATTTTCATAGAAAATATTCGTCCTCCGACAGGAATCGAACCTGTATCCTGTAGGATACAGGTTCAATTCCTGTCGATGAAAATTTATATATATATATATATAAAGACATTTTTATGTTTATACATCCTTTTTATAGATACAAATATTTAAGTAAATGCTCTGTTTATAATAAACAGTATTAAAATATTTTAAAATAATGGTCGGACTTTGTCCATTCCATAATGTGTGACGTTATATATATATATATATATATATATATATATATATACATATATATATAAATATATATTCATTTCTGTAGTTCACTGCTACCAGCAAGCAGAAATATTTCTTCTCCTGATGATGGCCGGTTTGGACCGAAACTAGTCGAGGAATCTAAATGAAATAATAAAAAAAAACTAATATTAATCTACAACCCAGTGTGTCTGAAGATTTTAATTTTTTAATATTTTTTATTGTTCAAAATATTTATTAAAGACATTTTTATGTTTAACGTTGTTATTTATAGATACAAGTATTTAAGCAAATGCTCTGTTTATGATACTTGTATCTATAAATAACAACGTTAAACATAAAAATGTCTTTAATAAATAAATTGTCGGACCTTGTCCATTTCTTAACATATGTTCAAATATATATATATATATATAACCTCTGTAAAAGCAAATTTGTACAAATCGTGTTACGGTATAAGTGTTCATCCCACAGAATGTTTAACATATAAGAAAACACTAAACTAATTGAGTTTCAATTTTCCGGATTTTCATATAAGTCGTTCAGACATCTTGATACTATTTGTTGTAAGAATGACAAGTCCTTTGAGTTATTCAGCTAAAAAGAGAGCAGGTTAAAATCGTTTTGTGCCAGAACTACTGTCTTCCAAACTGAGCAATGGTGAGAGGAAAATGATCATTCAGGCCTTCAGTAATGGTACCAACATTCATACCCTGGCTTCCATCTTCAATGTCCACCATTCAAGAACCACCAAGAGAATGGTGAATAGGTTTAAATAGAGGGAACAGTAGAGATGAAAACTGAATCAGGAGGTCACGGCAGAAAGGGCGATAATCATTACACCTTAGAACTGAAGAGATTACTTAGAAAGTTTTGGCACGTGAGGGTGGAGTTTCACCCCTGACAGTCCCAAGAGCAGTGAAAAATGACTTGAAAATGAAATCGGCTGTGAAAGGTGTGAGGCACCTTGTTACTCCAGGACAGAAATTTAGAAGGTTAGAGAGGGCGATGATCATCTTAAATAAGTTTGAAAATGATCCTGCAATAATACA